GGGTGCAGTTTGCTGAAAAGACTCAGGTCCAGACCAGAGTTTCCACACAACCCAGGTGTACTGGACCTCACTAGACCCAGAAGTGCTTACAAGGTCAACAATAAAAATCTGAGCTGAACAAAAACCCTTCCCCAGAGAATCAGCAGCAAAGCAGCAATTTAGCTCAACTACAGGGAAGTTCCCCCATTTCAGAAGTAAGCAAAGGATAACAAATTAGTTCCAGTGCAGAATTTAAGTGGTGGGAACAGCAAATAACCAACATAGAACAGAAAGAAAAAAACAAAAAACACACAGATCAGAGACAAAGTTCTGATATTAACCAGTAAAGGTCTAACACTACCAAAGAACACCTATAAAACCTAGAAGGAAAAAAGACCCTGGGGCTCACAAGTAGGAGAAGGGCCGAGCAACTCAGCCACACCCCCACATTGGTGTCCAGCCCAGCAACCACCACCAGGCCACTGCCCCCTGGGCTCCCCTGCCAGAGTAAGGGGGGTGCCACAGGCCTCGACCATGCCCCCTTCTCTTCCACCCTTACCCCACTCCCTTCCTTCTCCCCCTCCCCCAACTGCTCTGCAACATCTTAGAATGTAAATAATATTAATTAATTAAAGAATAATAAATAAAAATCTGTATTTGAAAAAAAAAATGTTCTGATTTGCTGGAGGGGAGACCCAGGCAGAAGTGTATGGTCAAGGGAGAACTGCTCTGCAACATCTTAGAATGTAAATAATATTAATTAATTAAAGAATAATAAATAAAAATCTGTATTTGAAAAAAAAAAAATGTTCTGATTTGCTGGAGGGGAGACCCAGGCAGAAGTGTATGGTCAAGGGAGATTTCTAGCTGGAGTGCTGACAGGAAGGTGGGGACTGCAGAGTCATGAAGAGGCTGAGAGGCTCCATGTGGGAGGGGGATACTCTGGGGCATGTAGGAGAGCCAGAGATCCCATGCAGTGGTTGCCTTCTCTGTTCCCAGACTCTCCAGTGAGTCTGCAGGGAAGAGACACAGCTGAGGCCTCCACAGGAGCTCAGCCTGGAAACTGCATGGGCCCCTATTAGGGCCCAGTGCCCTGACAACCGCTAGGAAGCCCTCTGGGCATACTGTCCAGCGGCTGCTGGGGACAGAAACAAGCCCTCTTGCTAGTGTAACCCTGCACCTCGGACTGAGGGCTTCCGCGTCTTGGTCTCTTTGGAGTTTCACGACCACCACAATTACTCCAAGAGATCGCTGTCATCCCCGAATTTATAAAATGGAAACTGAGGCTTGGGAAGCCGTGACATCCACAAAGTCACACAGTTGGGAAACTGTGGAGTCTGGCCTCAACTGATCTACAAACCCTACTCTCAAAGACTCTCAGGCCAGGTCCCCGTGTTGACGACCCTTTCGAAACGCGCTTCCCTCGGCTCAGCACCTGGCGCCAGAAGGAGACAAGCGCAGTCGGAGTTTTCCTCCCAGCTGAACAGTCTAGACCCCAGGCCACGACCCTGGGCACCCGGCTGACAAAACGGGCAGGCTGAGGTGGCCGAGAGTCCACTTCTCTCCCTCCTGACCCAGGCAAGACACGAATTTGGAGAGATTGGCGCTAAGCTTTAGCAGCGATCCCTGACTCCTGCACAGACGCGGCGGGGATTCCAGCGTTCAGTCAAGAGGCGCCGGGCCCGCGGCCCACTGAGCGACTCACTCCCAGGGCAGGCACTGGCCGAGTGTCACAGCCTCCACGTCCACTTTGTGTCAGCCTCGCCCACTTAGATTCTCTGAGTCTCACTGTCTCTCGTTGCTCGCTTCTCTGTCCCTAATTCTCTAGCTTTCTACTCTCTCTCAGCCTCTTTGGGTGTATCTCACCGTCTCACTATCTCAGCTCTAAGTGTGTTTCTTCCCCATTACCTTGAGTCTCTCTCCAAATCTCTCCAGATCTGCTTTCTACACCCGCCCTGCTCCTGGGTCCCCCACAATCAGGGGATAGAGGAGGGCCCAAAGTCAGCCCGGAGGTGAGCGGGCGCGGCCAGCGTTTCCCGCAGGCACAGGAGGAATCGGGTGCGGCAGAGGTTTGGAAACTGTGTGCCCGAGAGCCCAGTGCAGCCGCGTTGGGCTGCCAGTCTGTCTCCCTCCCTGCCTAGGAAGGGACCGGAGAGCGCGCCAGCTAGTGTAGAGGGGCGGGACGGCGGCTACTCTTTCGCCCTGGCGGCCACCCTGGGGACCCCAGGCTCCACCCTGCTCTGTTCCCATTGGCCTCGGCCTCCCCCGCCCCCAGCCGCCTGCCCTGGCTCCCGGGCGTTTAGACTACTACGGATAAATAGCTCAGGGCGCCTGGCGCGAAGCTAGGGGTGGGGAAGCCCCAGGGCGCTGCCACTGCTTTCCTCGCCACGCGTCAGGCCAGACAGGACAGAGAGGGGTGGGGGACAGTCCTGTGTGCATTCAGACTCCCGGCACTTTGCTATCGCACGGCTGGGGCTCCAGAGCGGCAGAAAGTTCCGGGACAACCTCTGCCGCTCCTCTGGGCTAGGCCAGGACTGCGCCGCCCCCCGCCGGGAGATGGAGCTGCTGTCGCCGCCGCTCCGCGACGTGGACTTGACGGGCCCAGACGGCTCTCTCTGCTCCTTTGCCGCGGCGGACGACTTCTATGACGACCCATGTTTCGACTCCCCAGACCTACGCTTCTTCGAGGACCTGGACCCGCGCCTAGTGCACGTGGGCGCGCTCCTGAAGCCCGAGGAGCACTCGCACTTCCCTGCGGCCGTGCACCCGGCCCCGAGCGCGCGCGAGGACGAGCATGTGCGCGCGCCCAGCGGGCACCACCAAGCGGGCCGCTGCCTACTGTGGGCTTGCAAGGCATGCAAGCGCAAGACCACCAATGCCGACCGCCGCAAGGCCGCCACCATGCGCGAGCGGCGCCGCCTGAGCAAAGTTAATGAGGCCTTCGAGACGCTCAAGCGCTGCACGTCTAGCAACCCGAACCAGCGACTGCCCAAGGTGGAAATCCTGCGTAACGCCATCCGCTACATCGAGGGCCTGCAGGCTCTGCTGCGCGACCAGGACTCCGCGCCCCCTGGCGCCGCCACTGCCTTCTATGCGCCCGGCCCTCTGCCCCCAGGCCGCAGCGGCGAGCACTACAGCGGCGACTCGGACGCGTCTAGCCCGCGCTCCAACTGCTCCGACGGCATGGTAAGGTCGGGACCCCAGGAGAGAGGAGAAATAAAGGCAGCACTGGGCATATCTGGGAAGCGTTTCCTAGGGCGGGGAGCTGGGCTTCCGGGGGATTTGGGCAGGGAGGCCGCCTGGGAGTGGACTNGGCCTCGACCATGCCCCCTTCTCTTCCACCCTTACCCCACTCCCTTCCTTCTCCCCCTCCCCAACTGCTCTGCAACATCTTAGAATGTAAATAATATTAATTAATTAAAGAATAATAAATAAAAATCTGTATTTGAAAAAAAAAAAATGTTCTGATTTGCTGGAGGGGAGACCCAGGCAGAAGTGTATGGTCAAGGGAGATTTCTAGCTGGAGTGCTGACAGGAAGGTGGGGACTGCAGAGTCATGAAGAGGCTGAGAGGCTCCATGTGGGAGGGGGATACTCTGGGGCATGTAGGAGAGCCAGAGATCCCATGCAGTGGTTGCCTTCTCTGTTCCCAGACTCTCCAGTGAGTCTGCAGGGAAGAGACACAGCTGAGGCCTCCACAGGAGCTCAGCCTGGAAACTGCATGGGCCCCTATTAGGGCCCAGTGCCCTGACAACCGCTAGGAAGCCCTCTGGGCATACTGTCCAGCGGCTGCTGGGGACAGAAACAAGCCCTCTTGCTAGTGTAACCCTGCACCTCGGACTGAGGGCTTCCACGTCTTGGTCTCTTTGGAGTTTCACGACCACCACAATTACTCCAAGAGATCGCTGTCATCCCCGAATTTATAAAATGGAAACTGAGGCTTGGGAAGCCGTGACATCCACAAAGTCACACAGTTGGGAAACTGTGGAGTCTGGCCTCAACTGATCTACAAACCCTACTCTCAAAGACTCTCAGGCCAGGTCCCCGTGTTGACGACCCTTTCGAAACGCGCTTCCCTCGGCTCAGCACCTGGCGCCAGAAGGAGACAAGCGCAGTCGGAGTTTTCCTCCCAGCTGAACAATCTAGACCCCAGGCCACGACACTGGGCACCCGGCTGACAAAACGGGCAGGCTGAGGTGGCCGAGAGTCCACTTCTCTCCCTCCTGACCCAGGCAAGACACGAATTTGGAGAGATTGGCGCGAAGCTTTAGCAGTGATCCCTGACTCCTGCACAGACGCGGCGGGGATTCCAGCGTTCAGGCAAGAGGCGCCGGGCCCGCGGCCCACTGAGCGACTCACTCCCAGGGCAGGCACTGGCCGAGTGTCACAGCCTCCACGTCCACTTTGTGTCAGCCTCGCCCACTTAGATTCTCTGAGTCTCACTGTCTCTCGTTGCTCGCTTCTCTGTCCCTAATTCTCTAGCTTTCTACTCTCTCTCAGCCTCTTTGGGTGTATCTCACCGTCTCACTATCTCAGCTCTAAGTGTGTTTCTTCCCCATTACCTTGAGTCTCTCTCCAAATCTCTCCAGATCTGCTTTCTACACCCGCCCTGCTCCTGGGTCCCCCACAATCAGGGGATAGAGGAGGGCCCAAAGTCAGCCCGGAGGTGAGCGGGCGCGGCCAGCGTTTCCCGCAGGCACAGGAGGAATCGGGTGCGGCAGAGGTTTGGAAACTGTGTGCCCGAGAGCCCAGTGCAGCCGCGTTGGGCTGCCAGTCTGTCTCCCTCCCTGCCTAGGAAGGGACCGGAGAGCGCGCCAGCTAGTGTAGAGGGGCGGGACGGCGGCTACTCTTTCGCCCTGGCGGCCACCCTGGGGACCCCAGGCTCCACCCTGCTCTGTTCCCATTGGCCTCGGCCTCCCCCGCCCCCAGCCGCCTGCCCTGGCTCCCGGGCGTTTAGACTACTACGGATAAATAGCTCAGGGCGCCTGGCGCGAAGCTAGGGGTGGGGAAGCCCCAGGGCGCTGCCACTGCTTTCCTCGCCACGCGTCAGGCCAGACAGGACAGAGAGGGGTGGGGGACAGTCCTGTGTGCATTCAGACTCCCGGCACTTTGCTATCGCACGGCTGGGGCTCCAGAGCGGCAGAAAGTTCCGGGACAACCTCTGCCGCTCCTCTGGGCTAGGCCAGGACTGCGCCGCCCCCCGCCGGGAGATGGAGCTGCTGTCGCCGCCGCTCCGCGACGTGGACTTGACGGGCCCAGACGGCTCTCTCTGCTCCTTTGCCGCGGCGGACGACTTCTATGACGACCCATGTTTCGACTCCCCAGACCTACGCTTCTTCGAGGACCTGGACCCGCGCCTAGTGCACGTGGGCGCGCTCCTGAAGCCCGAGGAGCACTCGCACTTCCCTGCGGCCGTGCACCCGGCCCCGAGCGCGCGCGAGGACGAGCATGTGCGCGCGCCCAGCGGGCACCACCAAGCGGGCCGCTGCCTACTGTGGGCTTGCAAGGCATGCAAGCGCAAGACCACCAATGCCGACCGCCGCAAGGCCGCCACCATGCGCGAGCGGCGCCGCCTGAGCAAAGTTAATGAGGCCTTCGAGACGCTCAAGCGCTGCACGTCTAGCAACCCGAACCAGCGACTGCCCAAGGTGGAAATCCTGCGTAACGCCATCCGCTACATCGAGGGCCTGCAGGCTCTGCTGCGCGACCAGGACTCCGCGCCCCCTGGCGCCGCCACTGCCTTCTATGCGCCCGGCCCTCTGCCCCCAGGCCGCAGCGGCGAGCACTACAGCGGCGACTCGGACGCGTCTAGCCCGCGCTCCAACTGCTCCGACGGCATGGTAAGGTCGGGACCCCAGGAGAGAGGAGAAATAAAGGCAGCACTGGGCATATCTGGGAAGCGTTTCCTAGGGCGGGGAGCTGGGCTTCCGGGGGATTTGGGCAGGGAGGCCGCCTGGGAGTGGACTACCATCTCCTGGGCAGTTGTCACTGAGGTAGCCAGTGCTTTTTGGGGGCAGGGGGACCGCGAAACAGCTGCGATCCGCCCGATTGGGGAGGGCTATAGGAACACTGCTGCTCGGACGTGAGGATCTGCTTTTTCTCTACTTATCCCTACTTCCAAAATGCAGATTTGTGCCCTTAGGTGACCGTCCGCCCAGGGTTTGGCCCTGGATGCTGCAGATCCCAGCTCCTGCCCATCCCTACCCTCCAGCCAGGACAGATCCAGGCTCGGAACTCGTGGCTGAGAATTGGGAGAGTTAGGGAAGGGCAGCTACGGTGGTGCCCGGGCCCCGCGAGGTCCCACGCCCTGACTCGGTCGCCCTTGCCGTTTGCAGATGGACTACAGCGGCCCCCCGAGCGGTGCCCGGCGGCGGAATTGCTACGAAGGCGCCTATTACAGCGAGGCGCCCAGCGGTGCGTATTCCGCGTTTCGCCCAGCTCGCGCCCCTTCCTCGTGCCCTTTTGAGCTGTCCTGGCTTCCCTCTATCCAGCCACCTACCCCCCGCCCCCATACATACGGGATATACTGGGAGGTGATGCAGGGAATAAAATACTAAGCGTGCAGCTCCCTCCCCTTTCTCCCCGCACTCATGCTTGGATCGTCCGGGACTTTGACAGGTCCTCAGTTTCTCTCCTCTACCCTAAAGCACTGGCCCAGGGGTGGAAGACTTGTCCGCAGCTCCACCCCTGCTTACTAACCTACCTCTCTGCGCGCAGAACCCAGGCCCGGGAAGAGTGCGGCCGTGTCGAGCCTCGACTGTCTGTCGAGCATCGTGGAGCGCATCTCCACGGAGAGCCCCGCCGCACCCCAGCTCCTGCTGGCCGACGCGCCACCGGAGTCGCCTCCGCGCCCGCAAGAGGCGGCCACCCCAAGCGAGGCCGAGCGCGGCGCCCCCACTCCGTCCCCGGACGATACCCCCCAGTGCCCTGCGGGCGTGAACCCCAACCCGATCTACCAGGTGCTCTGAAGGGGTAGGCTGCCGCGTTGTAGAGCGCCGCTGCCTTCCCGCCCGAGGGATGGTGTCCCTAGGGTCCCTCGCGCCCAAAAGATTGAGTTTAAGTGCCCCCCACCCACCCCTTCCTCCCCGCCAACAGCGCTTTAAAAGCGACCCCTCCAGAAGCTGGAGAGGCGGGATAACTTAAGTGTGCTTCTGGCCCCNGCTTCCCTCTATCCAGCCACCTACCCCCCGCCCCCATACATACGGGATATACTGGGAGGTGATGCAGGGAATAAAATACTAAGCGTGCAGCTCCCTCCCCTTTCTCCCCGCACTCATGCTTGGATCGTCCCGGACTTTGACAGGTCCTCAGTTTCTCTCCTCTACCCTAAAGCACTGGCCCAGGGGTGGAAGACTTGTCCGCAGCTCCACCCCTGCTTACTAACCTACCTCTCTGCGCGCAGAACCCAGGCCCGGGAAGAGTGCGGCCGTGTCGAGCCTCGACTGTCTGTCGAGCATCGTGGAGCGCATCTCCACGGAGAGCCCCGCCGCACCCCAGCTCCTGCTGGCCGACGCGCCACCGGAGTCGCCTCCGCGCCCGCAAGAGGCGGCCACCCCAAGCGAGGCCGAGCGCGGCGCCCCCACTCCGTCCCCGGACGATACCCCCCAGTGCCCTGCGGGCGTGAACCCCAACCCGATCTACCAGGTGCTCTGAAGGGGTAGGCTGCCGCGTTGTAGAGCGCCGCTGCCTTCCCGCCCGAGGGATGGTGTCCCTAGGGTCCCTCGCGCCCAAAAGATTGAGTTTAAGTGCCCCCCACCCACCCCTCCCTCTCCGCCAACAGCGCTTTAAAAGCGACCCCTCCAGAAGCTGGAGAGGCGGGATTACTTAAGTGTGCTTCTGGCCCCCGTCCCCCAGGGCAAGGACACAGTCCATTTCTTCCACACAGCACCCTTTCCCGGAGACCTGCCGCGATGGCCGCTCGGTGTTCCTCGGTGGGCCAGAGCTGATCCTTGAAGGGCTAGGCCCTTCCCCTTCCTTTGCCTCCTCCCGCATGGAGGGGGGATAGACCCTGCCCCCGAACACACAGGTTGTTTGGAAGTGGCGTGGCCTCTCCTTTCTGGAGCCCTCGCGACATCCACCCTTTCCCACCGCCTGCAGGGTGCACTCCCATCCCAAGTGTAACAGGTGTAACTGCCCCGCCAACAGCGCTTTAAAAGCGACCCCTCCAGAAGCTGGAGAGGCGGGATAACTTAAGTGTGCTTCTGGCCCCCGTCCCCCAGGGCAAGGACAACAGTCCATTTCTTCCACACAGCACCCTTTCCCGGAGACCTGCCGCGATGGCCGCTCGGTGGGCCAGAGCTGATCCTTGAAGGGCTAGGCCCTTCCCCTTCCTTTGCCTCCTCCCGCATGGAGGGGGGATAGACCCTGCCCCCGAACACACAGGTTGTTTGGAAGTGGCGTGGCCTCTCCTTTCTGGAGCCCTCGCGACATCCACCCTTTCCCACCGCTTGCAGGGTGCACTCCCATCCCAAGTGTAACAGGTGTAACTGTAACCCACCCCCACCCCGTCCCCTGGTTCAGGACCACTTTTTGTAATACTTTTGTAATCTATTCCTGTAAATAAGAGTTGCTTTGCCAGAGCAGGAGCCCCTAGGGCTGTATTTATCGCTAAGGCATGGTGTGTGGTGCAACAGGGACTTTGTATGTTTATATGGCAGGCGGGCGAGCTGTGGGCGCTCGCTCAGGTATTCGAAATAAAGACGCTAATTTATACCGCGGTGACTCCGTCTTTCCCTGGGCATGGGGGCGGGATCCAGAGGAGAATCGGCAAACCCGGCCAGCTGTCCCGCAGCGATCCCTGTAGGCCGCTGACGGATTGCAAAGAGGAAACCTGCTATCGGGGGAAGAAAGGGTGTGTAGGTCTCAGATATGTGGGAGATTCCTCTGACCTTGACACACATCACCTCACACAGTCAGTGGTTCTCATGGAAGGATGCACATTAGGTCGATCTGAGTTTCTTTTTTTTTTTTAAAGATCCATGTCTAAACCCATCCCCCAGAGATTCTGATTTAATGTATCTGCCTCAGATACCCAGGGCGGGGTACTGGTATTTTTCAAAAGCGCCACCTCAGGTGATTCTGAAGTGAGTGCAGGTGATTCTGAAGTGAGTGCAAGGTTGAGAGTCACACCCCTCCATACACACAGTGTGAACCCTGGTGTGAACCCACGGTGTGAACCCTGGATCCAGAAGGATCACTGGAAGGTCGTGGCCCCTCCTCCTCATGGGTATAGAGGATGTGATAGGGTGCTCACAACATTATGAGGGAAAACTAAATGAGTGTAGAGGAGCACTGTAAGCTGTACGGCACTTACAGGCCCTTAGTGATAGGTGTGGCTGCAAGGAAACAGCACAGAAGACCTGACAGGCACAGACGCCTCTACTCAGCCAGTAGCAACCCAGCAAGTAGAGCATCCAGCTCTGTCAGAAGAGGGTGTGAGAAGAGGGGCATGACTCTGAGAGCAGAGGAGGGGTCATCTATTTAGCCAGGGTGTTGGGAGTTTCCTGGAGGAGGTGCCATTTGAGCTCTGTCTTGAGGAATAAGAGTAGACAATGTGCCCACAGACCCATGCACACCCACAGGAGAGAGACCCCCCCACACACACACAGAGGCCTCTCTGCCCTCCCCTGGGTCCGAGGTCCCTGGAGGGACAGTCTGGCAAAAGTTCTTCCCCACTCACATACCCCCCCCACACACACACACATACACTTGCCAGCAGGACCTCAGTGCCTCTTACATCCCACGCCTATAGACCCTCTTCCTGAAAACTCTACAGGCCCATTTTCAGGGCTTTGTTTGTCCAGTGGGGAGCCCTTGGGAATGCAGGTAGGATGTGATGCCTGAAAGAACAGCCTTGCTACATATCTGAGAATCAGCTGTGTGCTCTGAGGAGCGCCGGTGCTCATCCCAACACAAGGTCCCTGAGGAGCTGCCCAGAACAGAACAGAGCTGTTCTGTTAGTGATGATCCTCCACTGTCTTCTGGCTGCTTCCCTGGATGCCCCTGGGGGCTTTTTACACTCATTTGAGACCCACTGGGGCTCATTCACAAATTCATTCATTTGACAGACGCTAGGTCCCATGCTGGGTGAAAACACAGTATCTTGTGTGTGGAGGCCCTAAAGCTCTGGTTTACTACTGAGTGAGTGGTGGTACCATTACAGAGATGGGGACCTCAGGAGGAGAGGCAGGTATGGGGACACATTTAGTCCAAGACGCTTCTGTTTGCAAGTGATAGAAACCCCATTCAAACTAACTTAAACCCCCAAGGGGATGTATTGGAAGGACATAGGGCAGCTCATATACGGGAGTAGAGCTATAAGCAGCCCAGCATCTATGGGCCTCGAAGCTGGGACCAGAGCCTCTCTCACTCTTCCAGGAATCCCCTTTCTTGTCCTACTTTGCTTCACTCCTTCTAATCTATATTGGTTTTCTCCAGCAACTTGGGGTTACCTTAGATTTCACCATTAAACTGTGGTTAGAAAATTCCCAGGGAAGAACTCTAATTGGAGCAACTTAGGTCATGAGCCAGGATTTGAACCCAGTCAGAGGGCTCCAGAGACTGCACTCTTCACTCACTGCCTTGCTCTGTGACCTCTGCAGAGAAGTCAGGAGGGAGGAAGTGAGAAAAGTTAGGAGGGAGGGGGGCAGCTGGAGATTGGATCACACTGTGGAGGATGGGATTTGAGGTTCTCTCTTGGCCTGTTCCTTAGCTCAGTCTCCTCAAGGCAGTGGGTGGGGGTGGGAATCTAGCTGAGCCCAACTCAATTTGCAGTGTAGATGAAACATCCTTTGCCCATGGGGCCATGTTTATCTGAGCTGGATCTGAAGAAGCACCAGGGCCATGCCCCCCACAGAGACATATGCATATGTCTTACACATATGTGCTCATACAATAGCACACGTGTACCCAGAGTACACCACCAGAGGCTGATACACCATCCATGGGGCCATGTTTATCTGAGCTGGATCTGAAGAAGCACCAGGGCCATGCCCCCCACAGAGTCATATGCATATGTCTTACACATATGTGCTCATACAATAGCACACGTGTACCCAGAGTACACCACCAGAGGCTGATACACCATGAAGCCAATGAAGTTTAAGCTTCAGGTCCCTTCCCTTGTATGAGCTCCTTCCAAGGCCATGGGAGAAGGCCTAGAAATATGTCTACATGATCTAGTTTCTTTTCTAATTTGCCAAAGTAAGTCACTTTAAACAATCAATTGTGACCATCATCTCTTTCTATTCTGACTTCCTGTTGTGTTGGGTGGCATTTATGGGCATGTTGGGGTGCTGTCTAAAGGTATGCATTTCACCTGGGTTGAGCGGAATATATTTTAAATACATGGAATATAAAACAGAAGCAAGAATGATGAACAACGAAATAAATTAAAATGATTCTGACATTGAGAAGACAATTGTAACCCAAAAAATACTTAGATCACACCAAAGAGTAGTTTATTAAAAGAGGTAACTTTCAAACAGAATTATGGAAAAGACTCTTGCATTGTTTGATAATCCAATTAACAAAGAATAATGAATTATATGAGCATACTGGAAAAAGATTTAAATTTTTTGCTTATCTGACACAAAGTACTGACATTAACAAAGATAGCATAAAATTTATAATATGCCACTGTAACAAGATCTTAACATCATCAACACAATTTTTAATGAAACTTGACAATTAAAAGTACTTAAAATTAAATACTTTTTTACCACACAAGAAAACTCAAAATGCCTTGAACTCTTACAGCCCACAGATGGAAGAAACTTGATTGAGGTTTCCCCAAATTTGACACCAATCCTAAAACTGTACATGACATTTCCAATAGACTTGTGAGGCTGAAAGAAACCTTGCTAAATTATCAATAGTACAAAACAAGTTTTGACCAACCATGTTGAAAGAAAGACTGAATTATCTCTTTATTCTCTGTATAGAAAATGATATAATAAAATCATAGTCA